GCAGGTGGGAGGAGGCGCCTCCCCCTCTCCACCTGCTGGGGACCCCTCTCCCCGCCACCCGCAGCCCCCCGTCGCCCCCGAGGTACCCCCCAGATCCAAGAATGGTTCTGTCCACAGCCACATCGGTGTTTATTCCGCGAGCCCAGGTCCCACACAGTCCGTGACACTCCTTCCCCCGCCCCTTCCCAGCCCTTGAAGGGGCCCGGGGCCGGGCCCCGCCCCCAGCTCAGCCCAGCCAACGGCCATCGGCTTCCAGGGGCTCATTTGCATTTCCGGGAGCTGCCGCCCAATAGCAAGGCAGCACCCGCCTCCCCTCCCGAGGGGCGGCGCTCCCGGTGGACTGCACCACTCTAGGGACCCAAGGACGGGGGAAAGCGCTTCCCCCGAGGCCGGGTGACAGGCAGGAGGGAGGTCTCCCCTCGGGCCGAGTGGGGTTCAGCGGAGGAGGGGGTTCTGGCCTTGGAAGAGGCCGAGCAGCCCGCTGTCCGGGGCGGGCTCCTTGATGATCTTCTGGATCTGCAGAGGGAGGAGGGTGTCAGGAAGCACCCGGGGCCCCCGTTTGCGGGGCAGACCGGAGGGACGCTGCTCCCTCTGCTCCTTTGCCCTCTTGGCAGCAAATGGACACGCCAACCGCTCCCTCTCCTCAGGACTTCTCCCGGGGCCTCCCCCTCACCGCCCACCCGAGTTAGCTCCGATCACCGGCCATTCGCCTGCTTTGCTGGCCTGGGCTGCTAAGAGTGATGGGCTTGACCCCAGCTGGTGTTGCTCAATGGGTAGAGCACCAGGCGGTGGGCGGAAGGGTCCTGGGTTCAAGTCCAGTCAAGGGCATGTACCTCAATTACAGGCTCTATCCCCGGAGCATGTGCAGGAGGCAACCAATCACTGTGTCTCTCTCACATCCACTCTGCATGTTCCCTTCCCAGCTCCAGGCCACAGTGTGTAATGGGATACTGCCTGGCTTTTGCTGTTGCCCCAGGACTCAGCCCAGTGGCTGGCACACAGTAGGTGCTCAATAAAGACTCAGCAGAACAAAGAGGAGTTGGGATTAACAGAAAGAGTGATGGGCTTTGTCCCAGGGCGCGTCTATACTTTCTTCTTCCTAAGTCATCTCAACTTTCCCGACTCCCAACTCCAGCCGGTGCCTTGCTCCTCCACTCCAGGCTCATTTATCCACCTGTCTCTTGGATGCTGGCTGCCCCCTGACCTCTCTAACTCTCGGTTCAGCCCTTCCCCTTCGGTAGATACCAGCCTGGAGCCCCTCTCTGGGTGCCTTCTCCCAAAGCCCCACCTTGCACCCACCAGTGAACCCCAATGGCCTGCAGAAAGCAAACAAAAATACACAGAGCCCGCATCCTCACTGCCTCTACGTTGGTGTCCCTGGGTCCTAACATCCCCGCAACTGCGGCTCCCTTGCACGAGCCCCCGTGGCTGCCCCTCGCTAAAATCCCAAGGCCTCGAGGACACGGCCTGGCTCCCCCCGGCCTCCCCTCCTCCACACTCCCCAGCACTCAGGGCCTGATACAGTCCCTGGAACGAGGCAAGTCCAGTCCCCCTCCCCCCAGGCCTGTGCCCCAGCTGGTCCCTCTGCCAGGAGCACTTTCTGGATGACTGGCTGCCCCTCCCCCTGTAGGTTTCCACTTCAAGGCCCCCCCACCTCCACCCCCCAAGGGCCGCCCTGCTGCTTACTATCTTGTTTCTCACACTCTCTACACTTCCCTTCCCACTCCAGGCCACAGTGTGTAACGGGATACTGCCTGGCTTTTGCTGTTGCCCCAGGACTAGCACACAGTAGGTGCTCAATAAAGGCTCAGCAGAATGAAGAGGAAAGGCTCCACCCCAGGGCCTTTGCATGTGCTGTTCCCTCTGCCTGGAACCCCAGACCTTCCGCATGGCCAGCTTCTTCTTTGTCTTTCAAGGCTTTCCCTGACCACCCGGTGTCAGATACCGCTCAGTAAGGTCAAAGTTCTATCCTCTTCAGAGCACTGATTCCAATCTGAAATTGGAATTTTAACTCCAGCTTAAAGATGTATGCATAGCCCTAGCTGGTTTGGCTCAGTGGATAGAGCATCGGCCAGCAGACTGAAGGGTCCTGGGTTTGATTCTGGTCACATGCCCGGGTTGTGGGCTCGATCCCCAGTAGGGGGCATACAGGAGGCAGCCAATCAGTGATTTTTGCTCATCATTGATTTTTCTCTCTATATATATCTCTCTCTCCTTCTCCCTTCCTCTCTGACATTAATTAAAAAAAATATATTTTAAAAAAGTATGCATGTTTTCATTTTTTGTCAGTCCCCTGACCTGCTTCCCCCCAAATGTGAATGCCACAAACGCAGAGACCTCATTTATTTTATTCACTGCTGAATCCCCAGCACATAGTAGGTGCTCAATGCATCTTTTCGAATAAATGAGATGAGCCCAGACATCAGGCAGAGATGAGCCAGGGCGACTGGGGGCTGCAGTGAGGACTTGCAGAGCTGGGGCTGGGTAGAAGGAAGGGAGAAGGTGGAGGGGAGAGAGAGCAGGAGGGGGCCTGCCTGGAAGAGGCAGAGGTGAGGCCCGGGCCTCAGCTGGGGGTCTGGCCTTGGGCCATTTTCCCAGAAGTTGCCAGGAGAGGAGTGGGAGGGGGCTCCTGGTCGAGGGTAGGGGCTGGAGAGCTGTCATGGGGGTGCCTCTGGCTGGTCCGGGGCCTGAGCTGGGCTGTGACTGGGCGTCATGGGAAGCAGGCCCCCCAGCCCTCGGGGACCCCCTGAGAACGGTGGGCACAAGGCGTCACCTCCCACCTGCCCACCCAGGCGCCCTCGGGGG